CCAAGCTGGAAGAATTCATAAACTGTGCTTTTAAACCAGCTTCTAACCCACTAACATTGTTTTTGTTTGTTGTGATCTAAAAATGGACATGATTGTTGTGAAAGAAAACAGCAGTGTTATGGAAAACTACAGGGAAGGAGACGTTAGAAAAATGGGGAGAAGGAATCCACCTACTGGCCAACCGAGGGAATCATATGACTGTGAAAAAGCAAGTTTCTCAATTGGGATAATATTTCAAAGACATTCATGACATGGTAATCAGCAAGGATCATTAATCATGTTTTGACCTAATTATTATTCAACCTTTATTTTAGCATTCAGCCAGTGGTTCATTAGCACCACACATATTGCCTTTGATATGTTAATAACTTTGGTAATTGGTTTACCATGTGCTAAAAAAAAAACCCATTTAAAAAAACAGAGCTGGGTTCTCTTGGGGTTAAGGGAAAACATTTTTTTCTCAGTAAAACTGAAAGTAAATACATGTTTTGTTCTTGGATCAATGCACAATTGAGATACATTCAAAGATGCAGTAAAGCTGTGGGAGAGTGAAAGGACTCTTTCACCCCACTGCCACGATCATTGATGTGTTTGCTCCCTCTTCTCCTCCACCCACATAGCTCCGTATGCCTCGACACAGTTCATTTTAACATGCCGACACTACACTAAACTAATCTAAACTTCTGTAATAAGAGTGAGAATTAAATTGAACCTCATTTGGTATAGATGCTAAATGTAATCAAACAGACACTATGTTAGCAGCAAATGTTAGCTTGTGATGCAGATAAAAAAAATACAAAACCATAATAAAGACACTGTAGGCAACTCACAAGGATGTTAATATGTAGAGATTAATACATTACAAACCTCCAGTGACCAAGTCAGTGTCAAAATGTAAAAACTGTTGTTGGTCTACATATTGCAGAGATCACAAGGCAACATTTGTTTAAATCAGGGTAAGTTAGTTAGTAAGTTTGAAGCTTTATTGTCCACAATGTGGATAATTGTCTTTGGCTTTACTGAACCACAACTAACTCAAATGACTGATGAGACTATAGAACAGTACAATGCAACTTCCGCAAACAAATACGATGATTATGTATTTGATCATTTTAATGAGCTTGGGACAAATGATTGATTGTAGTCATTGGTTGTAGCTTTCTCAGGAAAACCATTCAAATTGTTAATTTGACAATGAGGTTACACAATGAGATGTAAGGTGAAGCCCTCTCATGCTACAAACTCAGAAGATTTATAGAAATATTTAAACTGAAACAAAATAAGAATTACTGTGTGTATTAAATCAAATCACTTTATGACAAAAAATTATATTAACCGAATAAATACATTTCTTTAAAGGTTGAAATGTAAGATACAATCCAGCATTCATGGTAGTTATTATAATGCCCTCCAAAAATGTACATTTCATATTTATAATGGTTGTCAAATCACAATGTTTATTCTTTTGTTCGACATCTTGATATAGACTTATAGAGCCAGGTACATATTGGTATATCTTAGTTTGATTTATCCCTCTCATTACTAATTGCTGTACTTTACAATGCCAGGATTTTGAGTTTTATTGCATAATTCCATTGGCTGTCTTTTAAAATCAGTTATTAAATTATGTATTTTTTAAGAGTGACACCCTCAAAAAACGTTTGGTTTAAAGCATTGATTGTGACACAAATAAATGCTTTTTTTTCCTTTTTTTTAAGTTGAAATGCTTTAATAAAAATGTTTAACCTGTTCTCAAACAAATTGCTCTCATTGAGGACCCATGGAAACATGCTGACGGATTTGCTGTAAAGTGTCAAGTGAAAACAAAGGCTTCCTAAGGAATTGGTGGAGGACTCTGTTTGAGAAGTCAAGCTTTTAAATGAAAACAAAGGTTGACATTTGCTTTGTAAACCAAACATTACCTTCAATGACTCTTTGCGGTCTTGTCTGTTTGTTCATGCAAAGACTAGCTGTCAGTGAGGTATCACATATTCTTTCTTCAGTTGTTTTTCACAGAGTGCATGTTAATTCATGCCAAAAATACAATGCAAGAATGACATCACAATGATCCATCACTTCTTTATGCTGTGTGATATGTTATACGTGTTGGTTAGTAGCAGTGGTGTAAAGTCACTAAGTACATCTACTGTACATTTTTGAAAGATTTGTACTTTACTTGAGTATTTCAATGTTGTACTATTTTGTACTTCTACAGTTCAGAGGTGAAAAGTGTACTTTCACTCCACTACATTTATTTAATACCTTTAGTTACTTTGCAGATTTGGATTAATAATGTGAAACAAAGACAACACTTAAAATAATATTAGATAAGAGAAGATGGACCTTTATTGATCCCCGTAGGGAAATTCTGGTAGCATAGCTGGTGTATTTTGATGCTAATACTTTTGTACTTTTACTTGAGTAACATTTTGATTGATGAACTTTTACTTGTAACAGAGTATTCCTACACTTTGGTACTTCTACTTTTACTCAAGTACAAGATCTGAGTACTTCTTCCACCTCTGGTTAGTAGTGATCAGTGATAGCAAAGACTAAGAAAAACGACTGATGGCAATTGACAATGACAATTCAGTCAGAGTAAGAGACAGGCTTTGCTTATGACCAAAAAGAGACAAAACAACAACACATTGTATCATAAAAGATGCAAACAGTGCTTTCAAGTTCAAAGGGAAAAAGTTGTGTTTCTTGTACTCTTTCTTTCACACCATGTCTTATAGACTAGTAAGTCTGAGGGCAGATAATGATGCAAGAGAATGTTAACACGTTTCTGATGAAACAGGAAGTATTTCAAAAGTCATTCTGGCATTCTAATAATAAATTAATTACAAGCACAACATAGCACTGCTCTTTTGTTGTCCCCTTATTTTATTGAACAGGGTTTTGTAAGCTTGTAATGGGACTTTGGCTCAGAGCTTTCTGAAATCTAACATTTACATTAGTATAACAAACAAACATCAGAATCAGAACATCCTTTATTAGTCCCACAGAGGGATATACAGTGTTACAGCAAAATGGGTATATCAGGTAAAAAAAAGGCATGCAATAATAAAGAATAAGCTAACTAGATAAAGAAAAAAAATGCACATATTAGTTATATTAGAATAAAATGAAAAACAAATAAGTAGAAAGTACACATTCATGGCTAAAAAATGATGAGCAGCAACATCAAAATACAAAAACTTGCATATACACAGGTAACACATCAATACGTTTATTTTTTAGGTCATCTTGTTATGTACCTACATTTGAAATACAGAAATGTAAACATGATGGCTAAAAGATAATACCAGTGAGTTTGGTTTCGACCATTTGCCACCATCTCACACACATTACCGTTAACCATTCTTACAACCATTTTGCTGTCTCTTAGAAATTGTTAAAACATTACAAGCATTCATTATTTTTATTTAACTTTCAGCACGTTTCTTAACTCTGCTAAAATGCTTTCCCAACAAAAATAACTTTATGAAGATATATCATTTGCAAAAATAAATCGTGTTTTTTGTTGTTGTGCGCCCAAGGGAGTATCAACAGCCCTGGTGTGGTTTATTCATATTAAGAATAGCCTTTGAGTTTTTTAATTAAATCTTCATATATTCAAAAATAATTATTGTTTTATTTGAGATATTTTACATATTCATTCATCATTGCAAAATCATAGAAACAGTTAGGAAATATATTACCTAATACTGTACATTATTCTACATGACACAGAATCATGTATTTCAGTAACACATTCCAAGATATGGCAGGACAAATACATTACAAAGTTCAGAATCTTTAACAAGGAAGGGAAACTTTCATTTAACAATACCTTGCTGCATACTGCTACACTGTAAAACTAAATGTTTCTGTATATGATTGCCTCTTAAAACAATATCTCAACTTATAGAGAGATGTGAGTGTGCAGTAATTCCCTCATGGACCAGCAGCTATTTAAACCAACTCTGTTAACCTTTGAATTAAGAAAACAATTCTACAAACTCAAAAGATGTCAAATGTCAGATGCCTCGCCCTCATACCTCTGAACTGGGACACTTCTTAAAATACTCCATACCTCTGAGAAATGTTCCAGAACATTCAGTATCTACATAACACTCAGGTTCCTCCCCGGCTTCTCACATCCAACTTTTCTTTCACATTATATGATGCTCAACAATGTGAGAAAACAATATCAGACAAGTGTAAAACTTCACACAGTTTTAAAAAGCTTTCATTTGTGTTTAGATTTAGTCTAAATCCTACTGGAGATGACTGAGAAAAAAAATCTACTGTTGGGTATCTCTCAATAAGGCTTATGTAGCCTACTTCACTTAAACATTCTGTAAATTATGATTATATGCACTGTATATAACCTGCCACTACGACTGGCATCCCTTTGTGCCTTGCTCTCATTCTCATCCATCTCATCCATCCTATCATATTATTTATTATTATATCAGGCGTTTTGGGCTCAGCCAATCAGCACCATGGAAAGCTCCATGCATCCATCTGTCGTCACGGACAACACCCCGGTAGTAGCTTGCATTCATTATTTCAATTTTTTCCAAGAAATCCATTGGATTAAATATTAGGCTACATTGCATTTATGAAAGGTGTATGTACAATTTCATATAAATATATCTGAAATATATGTATTTGTGGCAGACTGTTGTCAGTAACGGTTCCTTTGGTCGCTTAGCAACCACATTGTTAGGCTGCTCAACAGCTAGCCAACAGTTAAAAGCAGTTAGTTAGCCTATGTAAAACAATAACATTAATAACCATGTTTAACAGTTGACAACTAGGTAGGCTAGGCTATATAAATAAAATGGTGTCAGGATGAACATTATTCGTATTTTTTAAAAATTAATTATAGCCTAATATCAATAATGCACATTTTCTGTGCAAACGCGGCTATCTTTTGTTCCCCATCACAGATCATGGATCACCACACTAATAGCTTCCCATTCATGAAGCGACGTCAATGTGTCAACGTAACTGGTAACCCCCCCTCCTCAAAGCAGCTACTGGCCCTTTAAGGGTTATGTAGCCGGGCTAGCCGATGTAGGACGAGCCGACCGTGCGTCTGCCTGCCTGCGCTGCGCTGCCATCCACATCATGGCCTCAACACCGACACCACCGAGGATGAAGCGACCAGCCAGCGGCCCTTCCCTTACCGGAGCGGAGACAGACGTCAAGCCGAAGCAGAGGCACCGGTAGAGGCGAGCCGCGCCGGGGAGAGCCGCCTCACCCATCCCATGCCCCCCCGGTCTCCTCCATGCCTTCGTCTAAAGCCAAGTACAGCTATTCGTTAAAGAGGGGTGCGAACCCAGGCGGCGGCGGCGGCAGCAGCAGCATGAACATGACAACGAACCGGGATTATTCCGTTAATCTGTCGGTGCAGCAAGTGCTGAGCCTTTGGGTGCAAGGCACGACGCTGCAGCACTTCACAGGTATGCGGAATGAAAGGTGCCGTTATTGTGTTTTCAGCTGTTCTCCAACTACCCTCACCCTCAGCATGTATTGTAGGCTATAGTTGTGTAGGCGCGTCCATTTTATAGCAGAATAGCCAACGTGTGTAATAGTTCACCTCACATGCTTACTGAACAGAAAGGGCAGAGCTCTGGCCATAAAAAAACGAGGGAGGCAACGGTAACACCTCAGCCCCATCCAGAGCTAATGAATGCCGGTTGGGCCACAATGAAAAATGCCACTCCTCTGTCCGCGCGCGCAGAAACAGTGGGTGACATGAAAGTGATCACAACATGCGGCTAATTAATCTGTGTGCTGCGTGAATGCGCCTTGACTGTGTAGTAAATGAAGTGTCGCCCCCTTCCTCCCATATCCTCCCCCCTCCTCCCTTTGTCTCGCAGTCCAGTAATCAAGGGGCAATTAGAGGCAGCATCCTCAACTCTCTGGGCATCTGTCTGGGATGGTCCAGAAACAATGAGGCTGATTCCATTCCAAAATCCATGCTTTTACCTATGTGCTTTTGAATGGTAGGACTAGGCAATAGAAGCTTTTTACACACCTTATGAATATGCCTCAAATATGAGGTTGTACCATCGTCATGGGCTGATAGCTGTAGGGGAGATGACAGCTTTTAATTGACAAGGCTTTCACCATAAAAAAGATGTGGCAAAGGTGATGATTCACACCTTGACGTGTGTTAAGGAGCTTCCATGGAAACGATCAGGGGTCGAAACACAGTCATGTCCAACTGAAAAAAAAGTAGGAGCATGAAAAGCATTGTGTGGGCATTTTATCTCTTCCTCTACAGGCAGGCCCAACTTCCTCAGCAAGCACAATATTGCCGTCCACCATCTGTTTCAAACATTGTAATTATTATTTCTCCGCCAAATGTATAAAGGGTAAAAAAAAAGGAGAAGATGTATAAAGGAACGACAGGATTGCTCAGTCATATAAACAGAACATTATAGACATTCTTGAATCACTCCCTGCAGAGTGAGAGTGGAGCCGGGGCGGACATGTGTTCATGCAGAGTTGGCACAGACCCATCTTATGAAATACAGCTGACATCCTGTGTTGAGAGACACATTAAGCTAGAACAAAAAAAAAAGAAGAAGAAGTTAACGGTGCTGAGTCAGCAGGAAGCTGCAGAGCATGTATAAGTTTGCGGAAGCAGAGCTGCAGCTGCGAGGAGTGGGACTCAGGGTGCACAGAACGACCCCGTCTGTAGACCTATGTTTCACCAGCCAGGTTAAAAAACGACCTCCTGCAACATGACATAGGGTTGGGGGAAGAGAGTGTGAGCCCTGAACAACAGCAGCAATACACTCCAGAAGCACATTTCAACTTTTGATATACGTCAAACCCCTTTGCCCTTTCTTTCAGGCCCAGGGGGAGTTGTCTTTAAACAAATGGATTTCCTGTTTATGATTTGTGTGCTTGCAGCAGTTTCCCTTCAGCAAACCATAAAAGGAACATCATTTGGTTTATGGCTTGCAAACATGACTTACAGTATTCTGACAAGCTTTATGTTTCTATAAGGTCAACTGAAGAGGGTTGGTTCACACAAACGACGAAAACTATGCATGGTTAGATAGCACACATACGTACTGTGGTTTTTGTGTCATGTTCCCATGGTTTTAAAATATCACTTACCATACTTAAACAGATGAATGGAACTGTGTGAAGAAAAGTTGGTGGCAACAGATCATTTTTGGATTTCACTTATTTTATTATGAAGTAAATGTTGATTGACCCAAAGGTTGTAGAAGAATTGGCCCTTATGTTGATATAGGCCTTGCATTAACTATGCAATACTGTTTACCTCTGTGTACAATCTGCCTGGGAAATGATGGCTCAATTTAAGGCACAAGGGAAGTGCAACAAACAGTAAGAGGATAGCGCTTTGGTTTTCCCATGGTAGCTTATAGGGGCTATTCGCATTTAGCATGCATTTAAGGTCTTTGCAGTTGCTATTCCCAGGAATAAGGAAACAAACAAGGATCCGGTTGCGATAGCATCCCTAGCAATAATAATTCAGTCAGACAACTAGTTGAGTTTGGCGTCTAGGCTCGGGTCTCATCACTCCACAGATATACATAGCACGATGAGTGATGATTAAATAACTAACCCCCAGAGCCTACAGGTGGAAGCTGGGGTGGAAGCTGGGGCAGGCAAGCAGCAGCGACGTAGAGGTAGCTGCAGCAAAGCAGCAGCAAGCAATGCATAGAGAGATATCTGGCAGGTTAAATAGAGCGGCTTATTAAGGAGACTCTGTTTGGTTGGTTGTAGAGTGGCAAGGGGCGTTATGTATGAATGCAGCATAAGTGCTCGAGTTGACTGCCTGAACTAGCTCGCAGGCTTCGCCCCATTTATTGGAAACCCTACGAGGCGAAAAAGTTGCAAAGTTGTCTGGTTTTACTTCAAAAAACTAAAAAAAATCCAAGGTCCATCCAAGTTTTTTATTATAACTACTTTGAAGAAGATAATGCGTCCCAAAACAAATGTTTGTTGTAATGTAGGCCGACCTGTATTGACAGCCTGTACCACTGCCCCCAATTTATTTAGAAAACTAGGATGATAGTAAACATAGGTCTGCAAGAGACTAACAATCAATTAATTTGGCCTAAAAGCCCTTATTGGAAACAGCTTCAAAATAACAAGATTAATAATACAAAGATGTTTGGTAATTCCTGAAGCCTCAGATCTAAGGGAGGTCCAAAACTGAGCGACACTGACTGCAAACCTTTTTTATTGAGCAGGGACTGCTGGATTCACAGCACCGTGTTGGGGACAAAAATATAAATTCAGTTCCAGCTTTATCACTACCAGCCGGCCACACCTTACCTCCCTCAGTCCCTGTGGACCGGGACAAATCCATCATTCTGCCTCCTCATGGATGAACTCAGAAATCCTGCAGAGCTCCTGCAGCCCTGCCTCTCTGATTGCTTCATGTTCCGCAGCGGCCTGTGTGCTCATGCAGAAACTCAGACCTCTTATCAAGTGACCAAAAAAACATGATCCCTGGCTCTTTTTAATGCCTCAGTGTTGACCGGCGAGCTCTAGAGCTACCGTGCGGACAAAGACCTCGTTCTGTTGTTGCGGATTAGCAGAAGTTAATGCTGTGATGTGACTGTGTTTTTGTATCTCTGAACATGACACAGCACTTGAGGGTAGCACCCCATAGGTGCTGTTTCTGAGCTGTGACAACCTGCGCTAATGTCCCCTTCCAGCATCTGCTAAACTGGAAAAAATGACCTGCCAAGAGTCATTTCTATCAGCTGGAGTTAATAACCAGCCATGTTTTTTCACCAAAACATTTTGGCCTACAGACTTTCTCCCACTAGTGACCATTTAAACCTCACATTACATCAATGGTGTAATTCTTCAAGAAGTGCTACAGAAATCCGTTTAAGCATTGATATGTTAGTTTAAATCAGGGGTCGGCAAGTAATTTTGGCCCTGGGCCAATTTTTTTCTGAGCCACTAGATGGCGGGCCAGAACATAATCAAAGGCCAGAAGCAGAGCCTCTGGCTAGACCTGCCCAAAGGGAGGCTCGTCCTCTCTAGCCCCATTTGAGTCCCATGTTAAAAGCCAGGGCTATTATCTGTATTTTAACAGACTTATCTTTTCAATTTCTTCTCGTTTTGCGCCGTCCCGTTCAAATGAAATCGCCGTCAATCACTTTTCCATGCTCGCACCAGGGCAGGGCTCGCGTCTTGTGCTGCATTCCCTTGCACTCGGACATTAGGGATTTCCTCTCATAAATGTCAGATGAGTCAAAACAGTTCTTTCAAAACAAAGCTGCCAACTGGGGAGGCAGCAGGGGCGGACTGGCCATCGGGACGTTCGGGACAAATCCCGATGGGCCGGTACTGAAGTGGGCCGGTCGGACGATGTGGGCCGGTCGGATAAGTCACTAGCACCCCCCGGCTGGCCATCGGGACGTTCGGGACAAATCCGAAAAAAATCGTTAACTGAAACTCTGCCGCATGGTTCCCTCGTTCCTTGGAAGAGGCGGAGAGGTGGGTGTTTTTCATCTGCTGGTGGACTACCGGAGAGATTTACAGCAGGAGCACACACCGTCCACCGCGGAGAATAAACCTTTATATATACAGTCTATGGAATAAACAGAAGGGCAACCATGGCAACCATGCTCCGGGATCTTCTTCGCTGCTTTTGGTGTATTTTGTGGCGGCAGCAGCGCCACTTACAGGCCCGGCATATGTACTACAGCGTTTCCAGCGTTTCCAGTGGTCTCGTGTGAACGGACACGTTAATTGAGCCGAGTGCGTGTGAACGGAAGACTTTTTTGAAAACGCATACGGTGCGTAAACGCAAACGTTCCCGTTCCCGTGAGCTGGTGTTATTTTTTTCAAACCACACACCGCATGTTGGCTCTTTCAGCACCACGCGCTGTCCAGCTACTTATTGATCCACTATCAGCGTCAGTGCACCCCACTGCCAGATTGTGCCTGTGCTGTGTGTCATTCACTCTCAACATGGATAAAAGTACAATAAGCATTATTCAGGTGTAGGTAGATGATCTATTCGGACATTATAGCCTATATGTGCGACTGTCGGTCCAATATTGTAAAATTAAAAAAAATTAAAAAGAATCTCAAAATAATATTTTATTTTTATTCTCAAAATAATTTTCCTGGCCAAATATTATTGCTGGCGGGCCACCAATGGCCCGTGGGCCGCCTGTTGCCGACCCATGGTTTAATTTATCGTTGCATCCGGCTGGGAAGGTGACTGTTTCCCAATTATCCATTGGTGCAGGTCCCGGGACAGGACAGAGGTCTGTGAACACGTCCTCCTATGGCCCCACATGCTCCCGTGTTGAGCATCGTGATAATCCGTTCAGGCTTAAGTTGGACGACAGATGCTCGGCCTGTGTAACTGGGACCTGATGAGGGATCCTAATGGAGCAGGGCGGGGTGTCTCTGGGTACTTTCCATTGGGCTAAAGCAGGGGTGTCAAACTCAAATACACAGTGGGCCAAAATAAAAAAATGGGTACTAGTGGAGGGCCGGACTGGTTCAATGTTTATTGCAAAACGTATTGAAATGAACTTATTGCACATATTAAACCTGGAACTAACAAAGCTTAAATGATTGCCTATAAGAACAACATTAAACATTAAATAATCAGTTGCATTCATTTCTTATGGCTCGATCTGCAGCTTTTCCAGAGTCATTTCTTATGATTACATTTTTCCACAGGCCAACAACAGCATAAAAAAAACAATCATGCCCTGTTGTCGCAAGAAAGAAAGTGCAAAAGGAAACATATATTTAAACTCAGTTTGCTGCTCTGTGATGCTAGTTTAAGCCAGATACTTGGCATCTCATCTTGGGTGCAAGTTCATCAATGTTTGGGCTCAGGCTCTGAGCGGAGGAGATCCTCAGGATTGAGTGAAGGTGTGCGTGCAATATACCGGCGGGCCAGATCTTATAGTAATTAAAAATTATCCTGCGGGCCGAAATTAAATCCACCAAGGTCCTGATTTGGCTCCCGGGCCTTGAGTTTGACACATGTGGCCTAAAGCGACTTGTGTGACAATTTTGTAGCAGTTTTTGAAACCTGAGACAAGCATGTATAACTCTAAACTGAACAATTTAAACAACTTTAAATTGTTCTAAATGTTTTCTTAGCTTTGGTGCCAGCAACAACCATACCAGGACCTAACCTAAAGGAAAGGGTTTTGGACTGACAAAACAAGTCAACTTTGATTTTGAGAAACAGGGATGGACATTTTCAGTATTTTCTGACATTTTTGTAGATCAATTGTTTGAAACTAGAAAAATAATTGCTAACTGATAATAAAAACAATCATTAGTTGCAGCATTCGTCTTAGCTTAGGATAGCATAGGCCATCCTGTAGCCTCCTCTCTTGTCTCCTCTGGGACACATTCAAACGATTGGATGGACAACATTAATGATGCTTGACCTTGATTGATTTCTGGGTCACGGGTCTGAGGATGGAGAAGGAAGGATGGGCAAAAGCATAATTAACAGAATAGAAAAGATCCATCTCTCTGGCGGTTATATCCTCGTCTCCCTCCTCTCCTGCTGGATGGAGGCTGATGGTTGAAGAGAGACAGCGGCGATGTGACTGACGGGGCCAGTTGTGCGGGACAAAGAGCCGTTGTGTTGCCGAGCTGTCACGTCTCTCTCCATTCATCTCGACAGCTGATTGCCGGATCAATAGTTAGATGTAGGCGCTCAGTAAACTGTGGAACAACTAGGTTAAAGAGCTCCCTTCAGGCTTGGGAAATAGTTTGCAATAGAATTGAGTCTTCAGACGTTTACACCACACGACAATGTCACATTTCCTGTTTGTAACTCAACATCCAAACAAAACAGGCCTGGATCGGTCATTTGTTTCTTCTTCCGTGAATTGCTTTTCTTCTAGAATAATCTCATGGCCAGCTGGCTTCTCCTTGTTCCCACGGTGCCAGTGGTTCAAAGCAAGGCCCCTCGCTGGCAAAGTGTGACAAGGCCAGGGCCCGGAAAGAAAGAGATGAGGAGGAAAAGGATAAGAATGATTTAAAAGGAGCCCGTTTATGTTGTTTTGGGTTTTCCCTATCCAGAAGTTTGTTATGTAGGTTTTTATGCGTACATGATCTGCAAAGGCTAAAATCCTAAAGTTGACGCCAGAGGGAGTTTCTCACCAACACCCCCCGTTTCTTAAACTTGATTGGATTTGTTTACTTCTGTCTCCACTACTACTACTCTAGTTGCTAGCACTCCAACACTAGGTACATGATAGGCTAAGGGGCGGAACATCTCTAAACGGTGGACCAATCACAACAGAGCCGGGCAGCTAACCAATCAGAGCAGACTGGGCTGTGGTTTCAGACAGAGGGTGAAAAGAGGTGCTGCAGCACAGGCAGTATGAGAAAAATAAAGAGCTTTTTGAACGTTAAAGCATTGAAACATGTCACAGTAGAGCACATGTGTCAAACTCAAGGCCCGGGGGCCAAATCAGGCCCTTGGTGGATTTAATTTCGGCCCGCAGGATAATTTCTAATTACTATTAGATCTGGCCCGCCGGTATATTGCATGCACACCTTCACTCAATCCTGAGGATTTCTTCAGCTCAGAGCCTGAGCCCAAACATTGATGAACTTGCACCCGAGATGAGATGCCAAGTATCTGGCTTAGCATCACAGAGCAGCACACTGAGTTTCAATGGATGTTTCCTTCTGCACTTTTTTTCTTGCGACAACAGGGCATGTTTGTTTTTTTCTTTATGGGAAATTGTTTTTTTGAAGCTGTTGTTGGCCTGTGGAAAAATGTAATCATAAGAAATGACTCTGGAAAAGCTGCAGATAGAGCCATAAGAATGCAACTGATTATTTCATGTTTAATGTTGTTTTTATAGGCAATCATTTAAGCTTTGTTAGTTCCAGGTTTAATATGTGCAATAAGTTCATTTCAATACGTTTTGCAATAAACATTGAACCTGTCCGGCCCTCGACTAGTACCGATTTTTTAATTTTGGCCCACTGTGTATTTGAGTTTGACACCCCTGCAGTAGAGGCACAACATATTAATATGAACCTGAAAATAAGCACAATGACCTCTGACACTTTTTTTTTTCTTGTCAAATAACTTGTAAAGACAGCACAGTGGTACATTTTCTAAGAATAATTTGACAATTTGTTTGAATTTTGTGAATTGAATAGAATCAGAATGTATAGTTCCGTCACTTTACGAGCAATGCAAATGTTGAATTTGACTCCACAAGGCGCAGTAAGCTATTGTTTCAGACAGGACTTTTCATTTACTGCCTAATGTCCTCCTCGCCGCAGCTCGTGTAAAATCTCACTCAGAGGCATCACAACCTCAGTCCCATTACCACGGTCGGCTGCCTCCTCGATGAGCCCTGACTTATGTTGTGGTGGATGTAGATTGAAATCCTCCCTCTCAGACGTGTGCAGCTCAGATAGTATCTCTGCATCCTGATCTGTAGTTGCAGTATGCTCTCAAACAAGGTCTGTTTTGTCTAGTGTCCCAGGTAGCAGAAAAACATTCTTTCTGAGAAATGATATCTCTGAATTTGCATGACAGGAACTATAGGCGCTTTCACACCAAGTACTTTTCCCAGGAATAGTTCCCGGAACTTTTCCCCGGGACTTATATTTCCCCGGAACTATCTAGTAAATCGCGTTCACACCGGAATAAGTCCCTGAGGGAGGATTACGCAAATTAAGCCGCTGACGTCACTTCTTCTTCTTCTTCTGCTTTGGGTTTACTGGCAGGTCGCAAACAACTTCACGGCGTATACTGCCACCCGAAGTCCCGGAGCCCCCCGGGTAAATCGCCAGAAGCGCCGACACCTCCTCATCACTCCACCGATCCCACGTTTTATTTTGTGTTGCCATAAGTTAGTCTCTCTCCGTTGGTGCGCTGGGCTAATGCTAATGCTAATAATGCTAATGCAAGCAAATAAAATGGCGGCTTCACAAAAACTTTTCAGAGTTTTACGGGGCGTGGTTTGCAATTCGCCCAGCCAATCAGAAATTGGAACCTTTTTCTCCCCAGGAAAGTCCCTGCTCTCTAGCAGGGACTAAGAAGGGGTGAAAAGGTTCCCGAAAAAAAAGATATTTTTGGTGTGAACGCAACATCCCAAGAACTATCGGAACTATTTCTGGGAAAAGTACGGGAAAATACTCCGGTGTGAAAGCGCCTATTTTATCTGTGCCTATCCAGGGGAGAATATGAAAAAGTGATGGAAATCCTTGGGAATAATCACTTTTTTCTTTGCTGACAGTTATTTAGTTTTGTAATATAACGTTGGCGGACTTGTGAGCACAGATGAAATGAAGGTGAAAATCTATGCAGCAGAGGCTAGGGTATCATGAATTTTGGCCAATAGTGTGGGCTTAGCTGTGCAAACTCCTATATTACTCCTATTTTTTGTAATCACTCCATTGATTAGTCTGATGTTACCTTTGGCAGAGCTGACTGAATTGTGAAATTAATCTAATTGTGGCTTTTTTTTTCATGTACTATTATTTAGATTTTGGTTGAGTTTGCAATGTATTTTTTCAAGATCTTTATCATTTGTTTTCACTACAATCTATACAGTATGACCAACATAACATTGAATTAAATCAACATTTTAATTGCTCCGTCATGGAGGCCCGGCTTTCGTGTTAAGATTAAATGAGATGAAGAAGAATTACAATAAATAGCATAAATGTATTTTTGTATTGAATTGGTAAAACCTTCAATCACAGTAGAATATTCTAACTTGTAACTTGAAGCCTTGTAAAACATTTTTGAAAGAACAACAAAAACATGCCAGGCCTGGTTTAAACATTAATATATGAACAAATAAATATAAATTACAGTATCATTTCCGCAACTGTAGAAATTACAAATATTTCCTTTTTTTCACAGCCATTGCTATTTCAAAATGGTGTTTATTATACCACAATGTTGCTTTCTTCTTCTAATCGGTCAATCCTAAACTCTAGGAGTAAAAAGTCAAATGTGTCACTCTTAATAGAGTTGCAGAAGAAGTAAAAACAAATGCCTCAAAATGTTTCTTTAGTACTGTAGTTGAGTAAATGGACTTTGATTACTAAACATTTCTGAATCTCCAATGTGTATAGTTAATGGATTCTTGCTAAAAAGTTGAATAGGTTCTGATTCTGTGTTTATTGAGTCTTTTTTGTCCCCCCCCCCCCGTCAGAGATGTGGTACTGGGTGTTCCTGTGGTGTCTCTTCTCCTCGCTCTTCGTCCACGGGGCGGTGGGGCTGCTCATGTTGGTCATGCTGCAGCGCCACAAGAGGGGCCGCCTCATCACCCTGGTGCTGGTCAGCGTGGGGTTCCTGGCCTCCCTCTCCGGAGGCGTCATCACCAGTAAGTCTATTCTTCTCCATCACCCGCTCTTTTTTATTTTTTTGGTTTAAGGCTGACCTCAATAGAACTCAGCATCCAGTCAGACTGAAGAAGATTGGAGGTGACAGGGAGGGAACGAGAGCGGGATGTGTGTTGTTAACTCCTGTCAAAGAGAGGAACACCGGAGCTGACGGAGGGATTTCAGATTCTTGTGTTTTCCTGTTGAGCTTCCTTTTGGGTTTATTCAGCACAGGAAGCTTCAAGCACCTCTGAGAGATATTGAAAACATATATATAAATGTCTGATTGTTTGATTCAATTCATTACCTCGATGTGGTGATACATGGTGGCTTTTGGTCCATTAACAAGGTGTGTACACACAAGAAAAGTAACGACTTTTAAGATAAGTAATGTCGGAGTAGGGAAACAAATTTGAAAACGACGTTCAGAATATCAATGATCATTCCTTTCCCTCAAATGGTTTTAAAGCTGAATCATCCAATATAGAGCGAGCTGTAGCTTTGAATTTTCCACTTTGTAAATGTTTGACACGCTCTTTGCCTAAGAACGTGTGATATCAGTCGACGTGGAGAAGAAAACTAGCATAGGCGCTAGATTTGGTTTGAAATTTGGATTCATTTTGTGCCAACGAGAACTCTGATAAGAGTTAGAGGAACATTGCGACACATTGGCAAACACACTTATTCACTTCCTTTCTGAGAGTTAGATGAGGAGATAACACTCTCACGTCTGTATGGTTAGCATGAAGCTACAGAGAGCAGGTGGTTAGCTTAGCATAGCATAAAGACTGTAACATTGGGTAAAGGCTTTTAACTACCAGCACATGGAAAGCTCAAATACTAACAACATATATCTCTTGGTTGTTTAGTCTAGAAACTAACATTTGCACATTTAAATTTACATTAGGGCTGGAAATGTTTAATTACTAATGCAAACATGTTACCTGCAAAGCTGGGTGGGGAGAGTGACAAAAAACCCAATGACAAATAACACTAATCTCATTCATTTATTTTGTTAATGCACCATTCAATCATAATATACTGTCATATGAAATGACAGGGGCCTTTAAAGGGCATTCCAGTGATTTAACACATTCAGGGAAGAAAATGATCCAAGAAGCCACTTAGCATTCAAATGAGATTAGCTTGTCCACCTTAAAGGTCATTCCACCTTAAGTGGGCTTCAGGTAAACCCCTTTACTTTAACCAGCAGGTTGAATGCAAATCAGCATCTCTGTGATTTGTGGTTATATTTTTTGTTTTGCACGCTTTTTAGTTTTCCCTGTGCCTTTTTTCTGCCTATTTCCTGGTTGAAAAATAGCAGCTTCTGCGTGGCACATTTTAATTGTTATAAATATAAGAGTTTTGAAAACTTTTTGGGGAAAGTCCAGGATGCCTATATCACTACAGAACATGGAGACCATGTAGATATCGATATTACATTAACATAAATAAGCCTAGATAATATAACATTTATCATTTTTAAAATGATATATATATTTTTTATAATATTTCTAATTTAAGTGGGGAAAATGTCAGTACATTTGAATTAAATGTAGGGATAATTTCTGATTCACATGGTCCTGTTTGATGAGACTTTTCATACCAGCTTTTGGTTGGTAACACTAAAGTATTCGGATTCGGCACCGAGCCACACATTACAAAAATCCAAATCTCAGAAATATACAGTATTTCGGGTCTCATGAATACATAGGTCGGGCAAAATGGAAAGAAATCATGATAATAATGATAAACAAGAATATTTGTACTGTATTTTTCTGGTGTTGATAAACTGTACTGTACTGGAAAATCACATGTAGAGCAAATGGGAACAGCAATGCATCTAGTTTTTCTTTGTATTTGTTTATCTGAATGCACTCCACCTATTGTTTGTCTGTCTGTTATATATGCACCGTATATATTTGTGTCAATCACTGTAACACCGTGTGATGATCCCAAGGTGTGTAAATAGCCCTAAATCTATCTGAGTGTAGGGCAGGAGCTCTTCTTGGCTCAACTCAATGAATCACTCTTCATCATAGATACAAGCTGGACCCCAAAATAGAAAGACACTTTATTATTAATGTGCAGCGATCAGGGAGAGCAGACTATTGACTGTGAGCACAGACACACACACACACACACACACAACACACACACACACACACACACACACACACACACACACACACACACACACACACACACACACACACACACACACACACACACAACACACACACACACACACACACACACACACACACACACACACACACACACACACACACACACACACACACACACACACACACACACACACACACACACACACACACACACACACACACACACACACACACTCTGGCTTCAAGTCAAAGTGAGGCAGAGCAAACGCAGAAGGACAGGAAAGGTCATGTAGTGTTAGAGCGAGCTGCCCATATATGTCTGGTATCATGATTATTCATTGATTTTAGGGACAAAATATATTTATTATTATATTAATCTTGGTACTTGTTTTCAAATTGTTAAAATGACTTTTTATAGCAAAATAAGAAGCAATCAACTCATACAATTCATTAACTTCTCCTTTACTGTTGTAGGGGTGTGTGATTTGATCGGAATTGACAGTAAGAACATCAGCAAAGAAACCCTTTAATGCCGACACAATTTAATCAAGATAAAGTCATAGCGTTAGACTATTTTTAGCTTCTGTTATGTGACGAATTTCTGAGTCAAACAGATTATGTGGGTGAGGTTAAGTTACAAAACCTTTTCCTGCTAATTCTAAGCGGATGTTTAATAAGGCTGAACATATATAATGATGTAATCTAACTGAATCTGAAAATATGTCTAACATCTCTGTGTTCACTGTCTTTTGTGATGCAAATTCCTGCAAGCAGACCCTTAGGGGTATACAACAGTAGAATAACATCCTCCATGTGCAAGACAAATTACAATAGCATTGACTGAAGAACATCCTAACATTTACAACAAATACACAAGTATAAATAATACATATTTCCTGTATTTGTTGGATTTAACTGAAAAGTACCTAAAGGACACAGAATAAGAACAGACCTTTACCAACTGAGCAAATAAAAGAAAACCAATAAAAAGGGGCCAAGACCATTTTATGCTAACTGTTACTGCTTTTATTACTTCTTTTATATATTTGTTTTACCCTTACTTCACCACACAGCAACATATCATTGTTCCTGAATTTAATAACAGCAAAGATTATCCTGTTCTATTGCTCGAATGGCAGTTTTATTCCTCCATAGTGTTTGTGAATCAACCCATCTGTTTACTTGCAGTGTGTATTAACGCTGATGAATGTGCTTGTTCTTCCTCCCACAGGCGCGGCGGTGGCGGGGGTGTACCGCGTGGCAGGGAAGGACATGGCACCGCTGGAGGCTCTGGTGTTCGGCGTGGGCCAGACCGCCCTCTCCGTCATCATCTCCTTCTCACGCATCCTGGCAACTCTGTGAAGTGAAACCCCCTGGACGAGACGAAGCACAGACACTGAGATGAGAATTCATCGAGCCAGTCGGAGACTTTATGGTGGCTGAGCGTGTGGAAGGAGAGGAAGCAGAAATGCTCTGGACCTTGGGCTGGAAGCAGGACACGGCGCCCCCCCCCGGTGCCCCTGCTCCGTAACTGCCACAGTGACGCCGCTCTTCAGAGGCTGTCTTCATGTGAGAGAGCGGCACCAGGCGGCCATCCTCAGCTTCTGGACTTGAAAGCCATGTTCCGGGTGTTTCCAGAGTTTCATCAATTGTTGTGCCAAAAGCCTTCTCTGGGACATCCAGATGCCTTTCATGGCCGCTGACTCATCAAGGCTTTCTGTTGCAAATGTAGAGGGGAAAACAAACTATTTAAAAAAAAACAGCAGTGACAAGACCTGTAATGATGATCTGATGATCCTTCAGTGATCAGCATGAGAACAAGAGTTGCGCAATGACACAATTTTTCTTCAGTATTGAACATCAGCCTCACCTCTCGGTCTTCACGACGTTCAGAGTATCAATGATCATTCCTTTCCTTCAAATGGTTTGAAAGCTGAATCATCCAATATACTGTAGAGCAAGCTGCAGCTTTTAATGTTGCACTCACTCTTTGCGTAAGAACGTGTGAAATCAGAAGACGTGGATAAGAAAACCAGCATAGGCGCTAGATATGGTTTGAAGTTTTGATTCATTTTGTGCCAACGAGAACTCTGATAAGAGTTAGAGGAACATTGAGACACATTGGGAAACACACTTATTGACTTCCTTCCTGAGAGTTAGATGAAGAGATAACACTCTCACGTCTGTACGGTTAGCATGAAGCTACAGAGAGCAGGTTGTTAGCTTAGCATAGCATAAAGACTGTAATATTGGGAAGTGGCTTTTAACTAGCAGCACATAAAAGCTTGAATTCTAACTTCTATATAACTTCTATCTCTTGGTTGTTTAGTCTAAAAACAACAATTTGCAGATTTAAAAGGGGTTATGTGACTGAATATATATTGGCTAAACACAATTACTTAAAGGAGTGAAAAGCTAGCTAAGAAATAGTCTGCCACAACCCCTTTTAAAAATACAAAGTATTGTTTTTTACACTTACACAAAACGAGATATAGAATAAAGATGCACTCACAAGAGATTGTTGGCATATTTTTCTTTTAATATAGTAAGGCTAGCTGTTTCCCTCCAGTTTCCAGTCTTTGTGCTAAGCTAAGCTAACGTTCTACTACTTCCAGCTCGATATTTACTATATGGACATAAAAGTAGTGTCAAACCTCTAATGTAACTTTCAGTAAGAAATAAAATAGTTGTTCTTAAACGTTCCTTTAAAGCAAACAGAAAGGTCTGGACAAGCCCTCAGAAGTGTTTGCAGGTTTGATACAGGTCTCATTAGCGTAAGATCAGGTTGATCTTATTCAGGTTTTAAGATGTATCGGTTTTAAGAAGGGTTGTTTTGCTGCTCGAGAGTCACATCTTCATACAAAATTCCATGTCTGCGAGTCCAGATTTCCTGTAATAACGTTGAAATGGAGCCGTAGTATTACTAACATTGTCTGCAGTGCTACAGCATAAATTCCCCCGTGGAGACCCTTCCCTGTCTGGAGAAGGTCAGACGGATTCTGCTGCTCAGACGGCCATTCTTCTATGGCTTCCTCTTTTCTTTGTTTTCTTTATCAACCCATGTTCCTTAAGTTTAACTTTGTATATTGTACTGAAAATAACTGCCTTGTTTTAGCACAGTGTGCGATGATGCGACTCTGGTGAGACCCCATTCGGTAATCACAGTAATTATACACAGAAATCAGTGATGATAGACACTGATAATCTTGTTTTGGGAAAAGCAAAGAAGAATGTGCTTGAAGCTGCTGTATTTACTCAAGAGTTTCTCACTGAAAATAGATACACTGATTTATTTAAGTTTAAAGCTCATAACTTGGCCCATAAGCACTTCCAAAGTAAAACAGTGTATCTAGTACGGGAGCAGGGTGGGAGGAGAAAAGGTTGCAATGCCAAAGTGTCGCTCACATGTTAGCTTAATTTATTATCTTTGTGTCATTTAATTGATTTCATTCAAAAAAATGCATTCATTTTTTTCAGTTTTAGAAACATTTGCACATTGGCTCGTCCCCCAGACAAACCACCATTTAAATGAATTTGACAAAAATGTGTTGTTATCTGTGTGTGCTGTAGCTCTAAAGGTAAAGGCTGTATGTTTATGAGTTATGTAATTGACACAGCTCACCTTCAGCACCAGCTTAGCACACATGAGGGCGCTATTGCACAGAAAGGAAGTGGCAGCCGAAATGCCTGAAAGATGATTGTGGATTTAAAAAGATGATGAAAGTTCTACCGAGTGTTTTGATACAAACATTTGACAAAAAGTCCTAATATCCCCCAAGAAATTAAAATGTAATCTTAAAGAGAATTCATGTGACCCCCTCCCCTTTGTGTCCACTGAACGCTCTGCACATTACCCATGCTACCTGCTTGAATGTTTTTAGCTCAATTTCAGGGACCAAATGTGAGTTGCTGCTGGTGACTCACCTGCTGTCACAGCAATGAAATCTCTGTGAAGCTGTTTGTGGGGCAGTTTCTGCATGTTTGCGTGTATGTGTGGTTCAGAGGAGAAATGTGAGTGTTGTAATTGGTGTTGGACCGTGTGGTTGTGCATGTGAGTAGTGTAATAAAATGTTCTTTCTTTTCATTAGAGGGGTTTGTACGGAAGCCCTGAGAGGCCAACATTTCTGGTGATCCATTTTCTAAATCTGATCTAAACTATTCAGTGTTTGTTACTTAGGAACAGGTGAAAAAAAGGTTTATATGTACACAGGTATTTTTGTAAATAGTGTTTTTCTGAGACATAAAGCTACATTTACAAAGACACTTTTTTTCATTTGTGTAAATGTGGATGAAAAAACATTTTGCAGGTAAATTATTATTTATTTATTAGGCCTTTTGGCCACCATAGTCCTCTTCTGAATGAGAACTAAAAGCATCCATGATGTATTTAATATATCGTGTGTTAGAAGTAAAGTTCTGATGCTAATCTGCCACTTTGAGTCCTTTTTTAAAATTAGATAATGGTGCAGTATGACAACAACAAACACTTGATCCTGGCAAAACTTGTTTTAACCCACCTGTTTCACAGATGATTTAATCTTTGCTTAAGTCATCCCGTCATCAGGTTTAGATCAGACCTAAAAAATGAATCGCCATACATTTTTTGTTTTGTTTTGGCCTCTCAGGGCCTCCATAGATTGTTCACATTGTTTTGAGCACCCCTAAAGTGTCCGAAAAGGCAAGGGTCCTATTGTGAGTGACGCTGTGAAGATCAGCTCATCTTACAAAATGTGTTGGAAAACATTGTTTTTTTCTGACAATGAAACTGCAAGAAATGATGGACTAAGGTTGTTAAATGAGTGCACTTACTGTACATCCTGAGCTGTATATAGCCATAGTGTACAAAGTCCTCTGATATGAACAGAATAACCACTGGATATTATTTAGGTTCACACCCAGCGCAGTGAATGCTGATGATGAGTACTGTGTTTTTCCACTCCAGGTTATGTGATTCAGCCACCATTAAAGTGGCTGTGTAACTGACTGTGTACTGCAATATCCAAGGAGGTACCCAGCAACTAAAAACCCCCTCTAGACTTTTAAAAATGCCATCGCACTGCAGCGAGACGCCCAGCTCAATAACCCTGTCTCTTTCATAGGCTTATAACTAAAAGCTGCCCCTTTGGTCTACTGTCGTCCAAATGCCACATATTCCCCCCCCCGGACGCTTACTGTGGACCTGCTGTGATGCATGTGCTCAGATAACGTGTGAATGGGACTATACGGACAATCCAACAAGAGACAATGTTGTACAAAAACCCAAAGTGGCACTTGTAGATATGTACAATATGTTCCTTTTTTAATTTTGTACCAGCCAAACCGCTGATATTTATAACTATTGCCTATTTATGTACAAAGTGTTTCTCCTGTAAATACTCAACAGTCAGTTGGAGTAAAAATCTTTTGCAGTATATTCACTTGGGAGTTTTGATTTCTTTATCATCATGCTGTGTCCTTTATCATTCCTCCCCCTCCAGTTTCTGGCTGCTGATTCACTTTCTCCGTACAGGTTTTCCCCTTCCTCCCTTTTTTCCAATCATTACTCAGATGTGAGAGAACATGGAAATACTTAATTAGCTAAGCACTGAAAATGTTCTTTTAATTTAGTTAAACTCAGCAAAGGTTGACGGTGTAAATGTCAAAGCTTTTAAAATTAAGTCCACACTCAGCAGAGTAATTGGAGTTCTTTCAGCAGCTTTTTGTATAAAGAATAGAAAATCTGCTGTGTGGTGTGACTTCAATCAGCCATGATGGCGACCTCAATCAGCCTTAAAATGAGGAATTCGGCATATTTTCTGTTGTTTGTTAGAAGTGATTTCTTAAAAGATGACGGGTGTTGAATTGGGGGTTATTTGTCTGTCCTTGGAGCTGATAACGGTGATTAGCATAATTTAACATTGTGTTTATTATGACATTCTCAAAGTCACAATGAATATGCTGCAGCTGCTGCTGACAATTCTACTAAATTAGTACCCATTATCAACCACAATAGATATTTTTGGCTTTTGAATGTTATCCATCACTTTGGCTGTGTAATCGTGAAAATTAAGACTGGGAGTTTTTTTCCCCTTATTTTAGAAGTTTAACCTCAACTTGTATAATAAGTCATAACGTGTTAAGCCAAAATACAGTCACATCCTCAAGGACAAAAATATGCCCTTAAAAACACCGTTTGATCCTACATCCATTACATGTAATCATACTATTATATCAGGCTTGACTTCTAGAGCCATGGCCTTATATCTAAGATATTACTATTTTCTACCAGATAGAGCCATTTTCTCATGCCTGCATATGGGCCATGTTAATGCTATTTAAAAGCCAAACAAAATCAAGTATGTATTTATGGCATTTTAAGACATGGATATTTTATGGCTAAGGATATCAGATGATCTATTTTAAAACGGGTGCTGAAGGGATTAAAAAAAGAAACAACTTATCAGAACCTTCTTTACTTTTCGAACTGAATTCCTTTCCACATCAGAAAATATCCATGTGGCATTACTCATCCAAATGATTTAATTGTAAACGCTTCATAATTGGCTGCTTGTCTGTGAATTGAAACAATCACACTCATTAGTGTTTCTCACTTTCATGTTGGCCCCCTTTGTGAAAGCAATCAGAGGCAGCATCAAGCTGGCACACAGAGCCCAGTTGGTGAATGCATTATTATTCACTGCCTCTCTGTTTCTATTGTCCTCTGGGTCAGAAGCGGCGTCGTCTCCATTCGTGGCACGTCTCCTGGTGGCACCGGGGATCATCATCAGCCAAATCAGAGAGAAGCAAACATTGTTCTTTGTTGTGAGGAGGTTGGCTGACTTTTATTTGGTGGTATCATTCCCAGAAACGCCTCCAGAACGTTATTTTGTCATGTTTGTAATGACACGGCCAGGACTTCCTTTCACGGTTTTATTGTGAGACCACACAAAACATTTTTCAGATATTATTCTCATATCTGATTTGACATTTCGCTGCTATTCCACCCTAATGATGTGTTTTCCTCCCTGGCCTTTCAAAACCTACACTAACAAATCTCAATAGAACCAGTTGTCTAATCTGATGTGTTCACAATGCTGAGCAGAGGAGGGCTTTTAATGACGATGATGGAATTTAATTACCATGCTTGTGGATTTAAAAGGATAACAGTCTTGACTATTTATCACGTTGTTTTTTGTTATTTTTATTCTTTAATGAGGAAGAGCAGGGGATTGTGCTCCTTGTTTCCACTCAGCAGCGGCTATTGGAACGGTAGTGTTATTATAATATGAGACAGAAAAGGAAGAGCAGAGCTGATTCATAATAGGCCAGGGATAGTGGCTTTGGTATGTATGGCTGTTTGATGAGTGTTTGGGAAACTTGGGAACATTTGCATTCGTATTTTAGAGGAGACAATATTGTTTATGCTCTTATCCAACCTTAAAGAGGGTTGGCAGTTTATTTTAAATGTCATTGGGGAAGATATGTCATACTAAACCTTCCAGAATGTTGGAAAAGGCAACAAATGTAAAGGCCTCATTCTGCAGCTCTGTCAGGCACTGTTGTTAAATGTATGTTTTATATCAGTTAATATGCAGAAATCGCCTACATCTGAAAGCCTACTGATGTCATACTCCTTCAAACACACCCACAAATGTGCTGGCTTGACTGAAGACATTGATACGTCAGAAACTGAACATATTTCTACCATTCAAACTGCATTTGAAACATCTATCTCCGTTTGTGTTTTTGCAATTTCATCTGCCAAGCCCTTAGCATTGACTTACAATGTGGTCTCTGGGAACAAATGAATAAGCCTGATTATTTCAGGAAAACTTCAATTTTATATAATCCATCAGCAAAGTAATCAAATAGTTGTTCGTTCATAAATATACTTTGTTATTCTGGAAAAGATGTGCCTGCCTTGCATATTTATATAAACCAATATAAACCTTGTGTCGAAATCTGTGTCCCTACCCCCTCATTTTCACTTACTCAACCCCTCTGCACCATACAAACCAAAAACAATATACAGTATGTCTATGCATTGCACTGCAATTTTCCATCCCTCCACTAGATGCCCTCAGAGTCTCCAGCCTGTCTCAGTGACCTGACTCTCTCATTCCCCTGCTCACCTGTTTCCACTTCCCTAATTAGCCCTGCACTATATAACCGGCCATTTTCTACTCATTCCAATTCTTAATGTTACTTCATGCCTCGCTTTCAGGCCATCTGAAGCCCAGAGCCTGCCAACCTGTGAGATAATAGCCGCTTTCACACCAAGTACTTTGCCGTACTTAGTTCCCAGCACTTAGTTCCCTGCACTTAGTACCCCCATGGAACTAAGAGCCGATCGCGTTCACACCGGAATAAGTCCCTGAGGGAAGATTACGCAAATGAAGCCGCTGACGTCACTTCTTCTTCATCTGCTTTGGGTTTACTGGCAGGCCGCAAACAACTTCACGGCGTATACTGCCACCCGAAGTCCCCGGCCGGAAGTCCCCGGAGTTGGGGACTGGCTTCAGTAGAAGCTGCTGGGACTCCCAGCAGCTTCTACTGAAGCCTTCCGAGTAAATCGCCAGAACGCCAACACCTCCTCATCACTCCACCGCTCCAATGTTTTTTTTTTGTGTTGCCATAAGTTATTCTCTCTCCGTTGGTGCGCGGGGCTAATGCTAATGCTAATGCCAGCAAATACAATGGCGGCTTCAAAAAACTTTTCAGAGTTTTACGGGGCGTGGTTTGCAATTCGCCCAGCCAATCAGAAATTGGAACTTTTTTCTCCCCAGGAAAGTACCACCTCTCTAGCAGGCACTAAAAAGGGGGTAAAAGTTCTCATGAACTAAGTTCTCTTTTTGGTGTGAACGCAAAATCCCAGGAACTATCGGAACTAAACGGGGAAAGTACGGGGAATAGTACTCCGGTGTGGAAGCGCCTAATGTGTCTTCACTTTGTCAATAAATCAATGAACTCTTCTGCCATATTTTCAATCCCTACCCTGCATCGCACTCAGCTGCCTGACACTTTGAGGGACAGACAAATGTAAGTAGTACCACAGTGCGTTTATTGAGGACTCTAAATTCTCGAAAATATCAGTTAATACTTATGAGTTTACCAATGTCAGTCTCAGAAGCACAGTCAGTAAAATGAGGGGTTTCACAAGAAAGGCCAGTTTTGGCTACATTACGCTGTTAAGCTAGCTAAGTTTGACTATTTTTCAAAGCATATGATACAAGACACATGCATATCTGAACAGGATGTAACTGGGTAACAGATATTATGGTATGGTTAACAACCACTTAGGGGCCTATGCTGCCAGTTTGAAGCTAACAAGCTAACAAACAACATAAACAAATAAAAGATGCTAACTACACTAACCTTGCTAACAGAACGATGTTGATGCTGGTCTATGCTGGTTTTTTTCAGCAGGGTTAGCAGACTCCTTGTCTGAGTCATATTCTAATGGCTGAATTGTTGTACAATGTTTCCTCAAACATAAAGAAATTACACCAGATGCTGAAAATATTGTTGCCGTTTGCAGAGTTCCGCGCCATCTTAGAGCGCACAGGTCTTCCATTGGTCCACCTAGAGCTAACAACAGCAAGCAGGGCTCTCAAGGAGGGAGAAAGAGTAGATTTGCTTTCAGTTCATTTGAAAGAAAAAATTGTTTGGGAAAACCCTGTTAACCAAAACATTAAGAATAGCGGTGTACCTCTCGTGGACTTTTAATAAGTGTTGCAAGAAGATGGTCAGTAATGCTGGATTTTAAGGTTACAGGTGGCAAAATCGATTATGACATTGTCTTTCCAACTGCAGGACAGGCATAGAAAAAAGGACCTGAAAGTTTCCCTGGTCCGGACATTATATTGTTTCCAGCAATGGTTTACAGTCATTTTGATACTGTCACTTTACATATCCAGACATTGATTCCTGCTGTAAAGAGCCCCAATATTCTCATAGTTGCCCCCTTAATGTTGACCACTTGCTGCTCTTGTTTTATTATGTTCCGCGTGAGTGCAGACAAGGGGATTGCATGCTTGCTTTGAAAATAACACCCTGAAACAACCCTCTCAACAATGGCTGGAACTTGGCCAAAGCTTTTGACCCGGTAGATCGCTTCACATTATTGCCTTGCCTTCGGTTCTGCTCACTCCAGATCAGTGACGTGCGGTGAGCTTCATGGTTGGTGAGGCACTGACTCTTTCAGAGTCAGATTTACAAATATTATATTTTGACCTTAATCGAAATATTCGGTTATTTTCAAAAGCTTTTTTAGTCTGATGCTTCGATTCATTTTAAACAGACCGTTCAACAAAAGGATACCCAAAATCTAAATATTGAATTGTTCTTTCTTAGTAAGATCCCATTTTCATTACAGTTGTGGTCTTACCTTGACTTGAAGATGAAGTCCATGCTATCCTTCTGGACAACAATCTCTATT